TGTGGAATGGTATTTAGAACCTGAGATTCAAGTGTCAGACGCGCTCATTGCTGTCAGTGTGCTGCTAGCCCAGACCCACTCAGAGGACATGTAACTAACACCCGCGTGCACGCATGCAGATGCACACACACACACACACACACACACACACACACACACACACCTTTATATGAACATTTATTTCTCTACCTATCCATCTACATGTGGAACACCATGGGTTCATACAAATGTTTAACTTCAGTGCAACAACATGGGGATTAACCTGATTTTCTCTCTTTTTGTATTTGTACCTCCCTTCCGTGACAACGAGGAACTTAGCTCCCTTGCTCTTTCATCTACTTATAAACTCAATCCCTTGCATGTTTCCACCCTCGTACCTCTGCCACCACCCTCTCCCCATTGCACTTGAGCTGGACACCCTTCCCCGGGGGAGCTTCGCCACTGAGGGGTTCTAGTCACCCTTCTGGGACCTGACACCCAATGCTCGGTCACGCCTCTTCGTAGAAGCCCTCTTCACCCAGCTGGGGCATTTTATTTAACAAGAACACTTGGCCTTAATGGAATCGTACACCTTTTGTGTTCTTAAAACCATAGTGTTCTTACAGGGCTTTGCTATGGGTGTCAGAGCTCAAGGGGCCCGATGATTGTCAGGTCATGGGAGATAGTACTCAATAACCAGAGTGACTTTTCTTAGAGAAAAATAAGATAGTATAAATCCATCAGAATACTTCATTAATTTAAATGACTATGAACGTTAAACTTTACTATTAATAAAGATTTTCAAGTTGTGTTTTTTAAAAGATCATCTATAATGTCCTTACAAGAGACATAAAAGAAAAAAATGAGAGAGTTTGAAAATAAAAGAAGGAAAAAGGATAAGCCAGAACAGTATTGACTAAATAGAAGCTGGTGTGAGATAAAAATGATATCATTTATAATGGCACCAAGACACATGAAGTATTTATGTAAAAATCAAGTGAAATATGAATAAGATTTATATGCTGAGAACTACAAAACAATGATGAAAGAAATTTTTATGTTTCAATGGGGAAATAGTGTTCGAACATTGGAAGACTCGATATTTTTAAGATGTTAGTTCTTCCCAAATTCATACTTATATTCAATACATTTCTAGTCAAAAACCCAGCAGAAATTTTTGTAGAATAGATAAGCTGATTCTAAAACTTATATTTAAAGGCAAAATGTTAGGATAAAGTTAGAAAGAAAGACAAAAAATGTATATGATTCCACTTACCTAAGGCACATAGAATAATCAGATTTATAGAATCAAGAAGTAGAATAGGAGTTACCAGGGACTGGGGGAGTGGGGAATAGGGAGCTGGGTTTAATGGGTACAGAGTTTCAGTTGGAAAAGATGAAAAAATTATGGAGAAGGATGGTGGTGATTGTGCAACGATATGAAGGTACTTAATACCACTGTACTGTGCAATTAAAGATGGCTAAAATGGTGAATGTTATTAAGTATACTTTATCATAATAAAGATTTTTTTTTAAATTATTCGAATTGCCAAAATAATTTTGAAGTCCCACTGGGTGATTTCAAACCTGACGGTAGGGTTAGAGTAATCAATACAGTATAGTAAGTACAGACACATAGGTCAACAGACCAGAATAGACAATCCAGAAATACAACCCCATGTGGTTAATTTTTGACAAAAGTACAAAAGTAATTCAGTAGAGAAAGGATACAATTATCACCGTATGGTGCTGGAATAATTGAATATCCACCCATATGCAAAATAATCTTCATGTATGCCCCACACCATACACAAAAGTTAACTAAAAACTGGTCAGAGACCTAAATGTGTAATCTAAAACTATAAAAATGCTAGAAGAAAACATAGGAGAAAATATGTCCTTGGTTTAGGGAAAGTTGTCACATAAAATATCAAAAGCATAATCATGAGAGAAAAGTGATAAATTAAACTTCTTAAAAATTGAAAACTTTTGCTCTGCAAAAGACACCAGTCAAGGAATAAAAAACCACAAACTTGGTAAGAATATTTGCAAATTACATATCGACAAAGATGTGGATAGTAAAAAGCCCACTGAAAAACACTATCATTAGTCATTGGGAAAATACAAATTAAAACCACAATATGATGCCATCACGCTCCTATTAGAATGAAAAATAGTACTGACAGTACTAAGTGCTGACAAGAATACAGTGCAACCAGAATACTCATATATTGCTTATGGGAATGCAAAATGGTACAACCGTCTTGGAAAACTGAACAGTTTGGCGGTTTCTTGTTTCTTATAAGGTTAACCATAAACCTACCATACAACATAGCAAATCCCCAGGCGTTTGCTCATCAGAAATGACCACTATGTGCGCACAGAAGCCCTTTATTCGTAATTATCAGAGCAAGCTAATGTCTTTCAACTGACACATGTATAAACAAACCGTGGAATATTCTCCAGTGGAGTAGTCTGCCTCTCTAAAAAGAAACAAACTCCTGATACACACAAAAGCATGGATGACTGCCAGACGCTTTATCCTAGGGAAAGAAGGCAGTCTGAAAAGGCTACATACTGTATGATTCCATTTAGATGACATTCTGGAAAGGGCAAGACTATTGGAACAGAAAGCAGTGGTTGCCAAGGAGTGAGGGTTGGCTGTGACTGCGGGGGGACATTGTTTATCGTCTCCAGAACTGTTGTGTACCTTCACGGTGTTGGTGTGTTGTACTTTGATTGTGAAACCTGGCAAAAATATTCACTAAAAAAGGTGAGTTTTATTATTTGTGAGTTGTAGCTCAACATACCTGAGTTAAAAAAAAAACAAAAACAAAAATAGGCATATTGTTTTGTTTTCAGACATTGAGTAGTGATGGATTGTTTGTAGAGGTTTGTAATTCGTTTTGTTAAAACCATAGAATATGGGCTGAGGTCATCTCATGTCAATTTCCTCATTTTTCAATGAATGAAAAAAGCCAGAGGAGGAAATGACACATGACAAAGAACAATCACCTTTTGCGATGTGATTGTATAAATAAGCTGCTTCAGAGGCTGGGATCCGCGTTACTTTTTTGTTGTTTTCTGCCGACGTAGCGAAACAGAGTCCAGGAAAACTCCTGGCATCTGTTGGGTTGAACCCAGAAATCCACAGCAGATTTTCAGATTTGAATGTACAATGTTGGAACCTCACTTTGGCTAATTCTAGGACCAAAAGTTCCTGATGCAGTTGTCTGCTAAAAATTGGTTTAGGATACACACATGACGGATCTCACAACATTGCTCACGTTGGCTTCATTTCATAAACTGTGTCTTACAACTGCACGGTTACGTTTTGTGAGAAGTTGTACCCTAGTGGCTGCCAACTTTTTAGATTTGGAGCCCCGCCTCCAAAGCTGCACACTCAGTCACAAATGTAAGAGTGACTCGGGAAAGCTTCTCTGCCTGTGGTGTTGGTTGACCCAAGCCCAGCAGCACTGAGGGACTTCCATTGATCACAGTGCAAAATCCACTGCTCCCACACCCACGTTTGGGAAGAGGGCCACAATGGTGGCTCACAGACAGCTAGCCAGGCTGAATGATTCCAGACTGAATCTGGTTCTTGTTAACAGGGCTTATCAGTCAGTGGAGTTCTTGAGAAGAGAAGTCTGTGGCATCAGTTAACAGTAACAGATCTCTGTCCCAGAAGTCACCTCTCACTGTATAAAATTGTGCTTAATGTCATTGTTCCATTTCATCTGACCATTCTACTCTCCCTTTTTAAAATCTAACTCTAGACTCAGAAGAGAGGGGAGATCAGAATTCAGTTTGTTGTATTTAGGTGTTACCAAACTTTCGAAAGGGAAGGAGAGATGGAGAATTGTATATATGGGTCTGGAGCTCAGGAGAGAAAATGTAAACTGCACATAAAAACAGGTGAGAATTTCCACACTGAGATGGTACTGGGAGCTGAGGGTGTGGTCAGAGAAGGCTCACAGGAAGGGGCCGGACTGCTGAGGAAGCCAGCAGTCCAGGGCTGGGCAGAGGAGGATGAATGTATATGGAGGCCAAGGAGAGAAGCTAAGAGAGCCTGGTGTCCTGGAAATCGAGTGAGGATAGGGTACCAACGAGAAAGAGGTCCAGTGTTAAATGCTGCTGAGAAAGCAAAGGGAATGAAGTTTAAAAATGTCCACGAGATTTAATAGCATGATGGTCACTGGTGATCTCCACAATTAAGTCTTCTATCCTTTGTGGTCATTCTTCATGATGAAAAATTCTTTGAGAACAGACCCTTTGAATAGAGCTTCACGTCCTCCTATATGGTTTTGTGCTTAAGAAATGGCCACCGAACAGTTGCTATATTGTAAACTTACCTGATACACATGAAACCTCAAGAAGGTGTCATGGTGGCGGGGGGGTGGGGGGTGGGGGCACCTGGGTGGTTCAGTCAGTTGAGTGTCCGACTTCAGCTCGGGTCGTGATCTCACAGCTGATGAGTTCAAGCCCTGCGTCAGGCTCTGTGCTGACGGCTCAGAGCCTGGACCCTGCTTTGGATTCTCTCTCTCTCTCTCTCTCTCTCTGAAAAATTAAAAAATAATAAAAACATTAAAAAAAATTTTTTTCAATGGTACCATGGGGGTGGGGGTGATGGAACTGTTGTGTACCCTGATTGTATCAGTGGCTACACGTGTTAAAACTCATAGAATGGTACACCTCAAAACAGCCCATTTTATTACATTTTAATTTAAAAAAACAGTTTTAAATAGTAATGGTAAGAGTCTTTTTCTTACATGGTGGCGACTCTCGGGTGTTTATTGTGAAGTGACTCTTTCAATCTCATACGTATTTCCTAAATAGTCCTTTGTATTACGCAAGGGTTAATGAAATATTGACAATTTAATAAAAACAACGAAGGTTTTAAGCAAAGAGAAATCCAGAAGAGTGCCAATAGAAGATTTACGAAAATGCATCTATAATTTTAGCTGATACTAAAAGAAAAGGAAAGCAAAAACAAAATCTCTGTTGTCTCGTCTTTTTAACAGACAGGAATGGGTCACTTGCGTGTTACAAAGGATGGTCTTCGCCTGGAAGGGGAGTCAGAATTTTTATTCCCATTGTACGCCAAGGAAATACACTCCAGAGTGGTAAGAAAGTGATGAAACATGCAAATGTGTTGTGTTTTATGAAAAATTAATAATCGTTAAGCATAGAAATTCAGCTATTTCGGAAGAGAGTTCTTAGAACGTATATATGTACACGCGTTCATGTTACACGCTTTATAAAAGCTTGGTAGAAGGTTGTAAAACTTATTTCCGATATTATATTATAAAAAGATGCCATTTTCATGTGCTTCAGCTCTGAACTCGGTGGCCTCAGAAATTTAAACCATAATTAAAAACGTTTGGTAATTAAAACCTTTATCAAAGGCAATCTAAACCTCTTTCCATTAGTGCAGGTAATTTAAAGACACTTTTCTCAAGGCATTTAAAATTATCTGAGAAGCTTAGAAAGAAATTAGTTTCATTGTGGCACGTTCTGTACTACTTACGCTAATTATAGATTATGGTCCTGTGGGATTCTCCACAAGTAGATGAAACATATCTGTTAAATAATTGTGTGACTTTAAAAATAAATCTGCCTCCGTATTATCTTCATTTACCTCCATGAAATTTGTAACAAATAGAGCCAAGCGTGAAACACAGTCAAATAGCTTTTGTAATATGTTCTATTTTTCTTCATGTGATGCTATGGACTTCGTAGTAAAGGTAAACCTTTTGCTAAATTATTGGTTGGGTGTCATCTCAATAAAATGTTGAGACTTCACCCAACTGTAACCTACCGGTTGGATGAAGAGTGTACTGTTTGTTTTCGTCCCGCGTTTACACATGTGAAAGGAGGTGTCAGTACCTCCTACATGCTGAGGCTCTTCGAGTGACTCTAGGGCAGTTGGAAAGGATACAAAAGGCCAACCGCTGAGAAGCATGTGGTCTTCTAGGAGGGGTAAAGCACACCCCCACACAGCCATCAGAACGGTCACCAAGCCCTACTACCAACCATAATGGGATGCCGTGTAAGACTTGCACATAAATACACTGCCAAGGAGTCTCGAGAGTGCAAAGCACATCAGTAGCTCTTAGGCACTATTGTATTACTTGTGATAATGTCTCAGTTGACAGGAGGAACCCACAAATGACCTGGAATAGGACAGGCTGATACATGCGTGAGCCAGATGCCATGAGCTTAGCTGAAGAGCTAAGACACTTAACGTGAATCGTGATGGCATTTCAGTGTATTAAATAGCCGTGTCATATGGAAACATGAGGAATAAACCCAAACTTATGTAAAGGGGGAAGTCAGATGTGAGCAAAGAATTTAAATATTAGAACCATTCCCCCCCCCCCCCCCCAGAGTTATGCTGGCTGATTCCCTACCTATAGTTTTGAGGAGAGAAGACTGGTAAAATAGCCTGATGGCTGAAATCAGGTGATTAGTTCTAGCAAATTTAATATTCTGGACTTAATAGTACTTTTAGTTATATCTTATCAGATTTTTCATATTCCATATACTTAAAAAAAATCAGGGAGCAAAATTATGTCAATTATTTTAGATAATCATATATTAAACTCTTACAATGATGCATTGATGCAGTATGTCGATCAATACATAAAATTATAGAAACATTTGGAATGATATTATGTGATCACAGAGCTATAAAGTATCTGGTAACTAATATGGCTTTCCAATAATTGGATTAACTGAACACAATTAGGTCTTATATATTCTGTGTGCACTGATGTATTACTTATGTTTCCTTTTCAAAGATGAGTCTAGGAGGTAATTTTCCATAAAATTACAGAAATGGATTTACAAAATTTGGCACATATTAATTTATGTATATTGCTGAGGTGAGAGAATTTCCTTATTCTAAATATAATTCAACATGGTACTCTGGCTTGTAACATGTGATTACTTGGTAACTCTTCAAAGCTAATACATGAGGTCCTGTGAAGATTGTGCCTGGAACTCATGATTTATAACCACCTATCCTGCCCATTATTAACCTAAGCACATAGCAATTATAACTGATAAAACAAAAAAGTTGTAGTTAGCAACATGCAGACATCGTCAAAGATGAAATGAAAGCAAAACACGCAATGGTAAAGCTTTACTTGGAATGATTGTCTTTGAAGTTCGCAGTCCTGGAAAGAGGCAGGGACAGCTTACGGTCAAAGCCCACAGAGACACAGGGACCAGAATGTTGCCCGATGGGACTGCTTGGGGCTCTAGCCAGACCCACTGCATGAGACAGCAGTGAAAGGCAGAAAATAGTTGCACCTACTGCCCAGACTTGAATAAAGATGCCAGACCAAGACCCGAATGTCATCCGAGGACACGAGCCCTGAGCCACCATGACAAGGCTGAGAAACCCAGGGGTCTCAGTGAAAACAATGGGGAAGCCCTTAGACAGGCTCGGTAAATCCAGAAATCAAAATACATCCACAAAGGGAAGCTTGAGACTGAGACTGGAAACCACATAAGGAAGCCTTCATCTAAAAAAAGGATTCCAACTAAACTCCCCAGAAAGAGAATTAACTTCCAACTAAGTAGAAATAATCATTCTGAAAATGACTGGAAAAGCACACTTAAGCATCTCACAGAGATAAAGCTGTTTTTGAGGAGCTTCTATGAAAAAGACAAGAAATGATAAAAATCAAAACAGGTAATACGAGACAGAAATGACAGGAAACAGACTTACCCGCTTTTATTAAACAACTAAAAAACTTGAAAATGTATCAGAAACCATGGTTTTTGCTGTGGCCTGGAAGTTACATGTTGAAACCCTAACCCCCAGGGTGATGGTATTGGGAGGTGGGATTTTGGCGACTTCCTCATGAGGGAATCAGTGCCCTGATCAGGGAGGCCCAGAGAGCTCCCTCACCCCTTCCACCAGGTGAGCTGGAGGCTGGGAGGCCCCTTCTGTGAACCCGAAAGTGAGTCTCACTGGACACACCAAATCTGCCAGCACCATGACCTTGGACTTCCCAGTGTCCGGAACTGCGAGAAAGAAACCTTTGTTGTTTATAAGCCACCGAGTCTCTGGTGTTCTGTCAGAGCACCAAAATGGAGTAGGACAGTTTGCAGACGTTGGACAGTGGCGGTCAGGACAGTTCTCTCTGAGAGGCGGACACAAGAGGTGAGCCCCAGGACCGCCCCAGTTTGCTACTTGCAGAGAGTTTCGAAGGCCACGGTGAGGGAGCGGGGCCGACGAAGAGGCAGGGGTCCTCCCCGAGTTGAGAAGATATGGTTGGGAGTCCAAGGAAGAGCAGCCAACCTAAAGCTCACAGGCTAAAGCTCCCCATTGAGGAGGCCACCACGCAGGGAGAGCCCCGAGACGGCGGGAGGTGAGCCCCTCCTCACACCCCTGCACGCTGAGGCACTACGTAAGAGACCGGTAAACCGTTAACTCTTACCGTGCTACTTATTTTTGAACAATGTGACGACAAGTGTCCAGGTCACATCAGTGGATGAAACACGAGATGCCGATGGGTCATCTGCTTCCACGAAGCGATGGGGAGAATTTCGGACCTGCCAGAGCTCCAGAGCCTTCCGGAAACTTCTTTCCTTCTGAAAAATCGCAGTACTCACCCCAACTTTGGAAGACATTCGGTTCCCTCTGAATGGATCATTAACCCGCCTGAATCCAACCACCAAATCGTTGCGTTCTTTCTTGAAGAAAATGGCTTATGTAAGAGCAAACGATCTTCTGTAATGCAAAACCAGCCATTCGGAACTATGATGCCACAGGAGGCGCTTGTGACATAAAGCCACCTTATCTTCCAACAAAAGTTTAAAAAATACAGATATCTGACAGATTTTAAAAAGCTCTTGTGAAGTCGTGAAAAGGCTTTACATTTTGAAAACAAGTAATGTGGTGTTTCTTACAGAAGAACTAACCATGCTCTGATTTATCTTCTAAAAATATGTCATGTCCTGGACATAGATATTAAAAAAATTTTAATATTTTAATATTTTGTTAAGAAATTTTTATTCCTTGGAACAGGAAAAAACACTGATTAAAACGCGATTATTTTATTTTATTTTTTTTTTTTTTAATTTTTTGTTTTCAACGTTTATTTATTTTTGGGACAGAGAGAGACAGAGCATGAACGGGGGAGGGGCAGAGAGAGAGGGAGACACAGAATCGGAAACAGGCTCCAGGCTCCGAGCCGTCAGCCCAGAGCCCGACGCGGGGCTCGAACTCCCGGACCGCGAGATCGCGACCTGGCTGAAGTCGGACGCTCAACCGACTGTGCCACCCAGGCGCCCCTAAAACTCGATTATTTTAGATCTTCACCCAGAGAGCTAACGTGGTACACTGTAGCCATTGCATGCGAGCAGTGCGAACCCATAAAAATATTATAATTTATGAAAAAAGGAGTTAGGACACCCTGTAGCAGCGAGGAAATGGATTTTGCCAGCAACCACATGAGCTTAGAAGAAGCTCTTGAGTCTGGAATGAATCCTCAGCCTTTCAGTCCCCTTGAGACCCTGAACAGGGGACCAAGGTAGCCTGTGCCTAGACTCCTGACCCACAAAATCTATAATATAATAAATACGTATTGTTTGAAACTGTTGGAGTAAAAAATTTTCATGTACTCTTTTAACATAGTATAATCCAAGATTTTAAAATACTGTGTAGGGCCACAGGATCTCTGACTATGGAAAAAGTATCTTATATAAATCCTAAATTTATATATGAATACAAATATACAGTCATTTTATTTTTTATTTAAAATTTTTAATGTTTGTTTATTTTGGAGAGAGAGAGAGAGAGACAGAGCGTGAGTGGGGAGGAGCAGAGAGAGGGAGACACAGAATCCCAAGCAGGCTCCCGACTCTGAGCTGTCAGCACACAGCCCGACGTGGGGCTCGAACCCACGAACCGCGAGATCGTGACCTGAGCTAAAATCGGACACTTAACCGACCGAGCCACCCGGGTGCCCCACAGTCATTTTGAATACTATCTATTCATTGGGGTGCCCGGGTGGCTCAGTCACTTGAGTGTTTGACTCTTGACTTTGGCTCAGGTCATGATCCCAGGATCGTGAGATCAAGCCCCGCGTTGGGCTCTACACCGACGCACTGAATGTGGAGCCTGCTTAAGATTCTCCCTCTCCATCCCTTTGGTTGTTCCTGCCCACGGAACGCACATGTACACAGTAAAAATAAGTCTAAAAATATGTCTCTCTAAAAATAAGTGAGTAAATGAGTGAATAGTATGTATTTGTCACATTTTGTAAATGCCCTTCTAGGATTCATCTCTGCTTCTGCAGTCAACTCAGAATGTGACCGTCAACGCACGCAACTCTGAAGGGGAGGTCACAGGCAGGTTAAAAGTGGGTGAGTCTAACCTCTTCACAGTGCTTTGCATGTGAGTGGTCCGTGGATAGTTGTGCTGAATGGATACACGTCTCTCTTCTGAAGAATTCACAGTTACTCATGAACAATTACAGTACGAGTTTTCTAAATATCATGCTGTGTTGACTGCAGAGAGTAGTTGGCATCACGAGGGAGACAGTCTGAGATATTTTAATTAAAGTTATTGCGATTGCAAGAAATAGAGGACCATTCAAGGTAGGAAAAGACACATGATTAGTACAGAACGCAGAGGAATCTCAGAGACCAAAGGAAAGGAGCCAAAGTGTCTGGCCTCAAAAGAACAGAGACCAGGGGCTAAGAGCCAAAAGATTCTCTCTCGCTCTTCCTCTCCCCACCCCTCCTTCACCTTCCCTTTCCCCTCGCCCATGTACCCCTCCTTTCTACAGCATCTCTGCCCATTATTTTCACTTGGCCACATCGGTTCTGACTGTGTAGGACGTACAGGACCTCTCTGGTTCTTCATCTGATAGGCTGTGCTTCTCAACACCGGCCAGCGTGGTCTTTAGTTTCATGAATTCTAAATTCACAATAAAGTACTCTAATTGGCCCGAGTAATGTGTGTAACCAACTGCCCGGGGGCAGCTATGTATCCTATCCAACCAGCTAAGACCAGAGAGTAAGCTCACCCAGCAGTGAGATCACACGAACTCTTATACAGTGAGAAAAAAAAGGATTACCGAGAAAGATCATCGGTGGAAGAAATGAAAGGAAGAAATTCCTTTCACCTAGTGAAAGGAATGTGTATCCATTCTCTATACTATCAGCAGTCTATACATGTGCCAAATCTAAGAAACTGAGTGGCCTTCTGGGTTATGGGAAAACAGATGAAAAGTGTCCCGCCAGCACCAACTGGTAACTTTCAACGTCTCTTTTTCACGAAACAGAATAATGTTACATTGGAAACTGCAGCCGTATATTAGCCTGATGATTCCTTTTTATCATGCTGATACACAAGTTCCATATTATATGTTCTGCTTTAATCTTCATAACTTACTTCTCTTTTGCTTAGAAGGTTGTTCGATCACTAAGTCCAGTGAGATTCTCAGTGGTTCCAGACATGAACCTGAGTTTATTCAGCGTACATGTTCTTGAAACGTGTCTAAAATCAAATCATATTTTCTTGAAAGATTATGTAGGATTATGATTTATCTTTACCATTATTTCACAGACTTCTTTGGCTCTAGCTTTTATATGTTTGAGGGATTTTTGCTCATCTTTTGTCATTCATTTCCCATTTGTTGGATGCCTACATGCATCTTTCTGTATGCTGTCACATGTAAATAATATGTACGTACCCCTTAGGAGCTCCACAAGAAAAAGACTCCCTTTATATTCTTATAAAAATGATTTACTACAAATACTTATTTCCTCATTTAATTTTTTGTTGAATGTAGATTTTCATATATCGTACAAGAGAGTTAGGGGCACCTGGGTGGCTCAATCCATTAAGTTTCCGACTTCGGTCATGATCTCACAGTTCGTGGGTTCAAACCCTGCATCAGGCTCTGTGCTGACAGCTCAGAGCCTGGAGCCTTTTTCCAATTCTGTGTCTCCCTCTCTCTCTGCCCCTCCCCCACTGATGCTCTCCCCCCCCCCAAAATAAACACTTTTTAAAATTTTTTAAAAATTTTAAAAAAAGAGAGTTAGATGTAATATAAATCTGCCTCCAATTCCATGAATGAAAAAAACTGAAGCAGTGAAAAGCGAATTTGCTCAAGAACACAGCTATTTAGCAGAGCAAGCCAAACCAGGAGTTAGCAGGAATTAGTAGTTTAGCAGGAAAAGCAGACCCCAGGACTTCTCTCCCTCAGCCCGGAATGTACCACTCCCTCTCTCCAATCAGATTTCCTTAAATTATGGCACACCAGTTTCCTTAAATTATGGCCCTATTTCCTGCAAATATGGTTACCATTTTTGTCACCAAGGAATTTACTTTAAAAAATTAAAAAAAAAAAATTTCCCACTAGAATTACATTGGTTTAAATTGTTCACCTTAAATCTTGAGTTTTAACCTGGGTGTTTCGTGCTTGATATAATGTTAAAGCTGGTGATTTTTCTTAAACCCTTGGTTGAAAAGCCTCTGCTATGTGGTGGACCCTGAAGCAGGGAATACTGCCCAGCTCACCGAGGGTATTTTCAAGTAAACGACTTCCGCAATCACAGCCATTCCGGCCTCACGTTTCTGGGAAGAAGTTAAATGTAGCCAACCTGGACATTAAAATGTAATTTATGTGAACTAGCCAAATTCATCCCATGTAATGAAATGAATACTTGCTCATTACTAAACCACTGAAAACAATGGCAACCAGTACGGTCAAAACCAAAAGTCTTAAATCCCCAAAGAAGTCAAACACTGACATGAACAATAGCTAACACTCTGAATCCTTGAGCTGAAAGATACCAACTCATAGCAAAATAACGGGAAAACTTACTAACTGTGAGTTCAGCTCTGGTTGCCTACCAGTCATTTTCTTTTGATTTCAAATAACAGAGACGAATTCTGGTTAGCTTAAAAAAGTTTACACAGGAGGGCTGGTCGGGTTCGGCAGTACGGGTTTTCTGAGGACCGAGCCGGGCTGCAGCCAGTGGTTCCTGGGGAACCACCAGCTTTCCGGCAACTGGCAGTCGGTATAGAGTTTGATCAAGCAGGGCCGCTGGCCTCTCTGCCCTGCGATTTCTCTAGAGTTATGGTCACTACCAATCCAACTGGGGATTTTCAGCTAACAACCAAATGAACCCACTGGGGAGGCTGGTAATGTTTATGGCTCAATTTGGTCACCATCGCGCAGACACCCAAATCATTTTCCTGGGTGCTGAAAGATGTCCTCTGTCACAATCACACTGTCTTAGATCCAGGTGTTCGAATAGCAAAGCTGAGAAGTAAGAATCTCATTAACCCATTAAGTTGGTTCGGGTTCTTGGAACTTATGCATAGCCATGGTAAGCTTCTGCAAAAGCCTTTGTATACCCAGAGCGTGAGTGTGACTAATATCAAGAATAGAAATGTAAAACAAAAGGATAAAGTGAATGTAGTGTTGCAGAGTTTCATGGACCCTCTATTAAGGAACATAGAGGTGCACCTGCAGCCAAGATGTCTTTGGGTGTAATGATTGAACTCAGCAGAAGAAACATCAGAAGTGAGGTCGAAAATACCAGTGTTATCCCAGCTGCATGTTTCTCTGAGGTTACCTAGATATTGCTGCTTTGCAATCCTTCCCAGGGAAAAGGAGACAGAGGACAGTGACTGCAAACCTGAAGACAGGGGACCTTCCGGTGCAGCACGCCCCAGGGAAGAGACGCTCCAAACACAGCACAGGGTCGCAACAGGCTGTGGATGTAAGAATATCCTCGAGAGACCAAAGCAGGACAGTGACAGACATGTTTGACATTTCAGCCACTTGATTCATGACCCACCCCCCCCCCCAGGTTAGCAAATAAATTACTAAAGCACACAGCAAGTTCTGACAAGAGATTTGAAGTAAGGGTGATGCTCAGGGACCTCTTCTCCAGACTGGTGGGAATTCATGCACTTTTTCTCTTTAGCTTTGATCCTTTGGGCAGGGGTTTCTGCAGCCCCGTCGAAGAGAAATAACCAAGAGCCTTCTGTTTGCTGCCCAAGCGTGCCATCATTGCTCAAAGCTGAGGCCAACAAGTTTGTAATTGACCAAAGGTCTAGGAAAGTCATGACAGTAGTAATCAACACTATTCCAAGACAGGTCATAGCTCCTCTGGCTATGACCGAGACCCCTCCAAGATCTGGCCTGTGTAAAACACACAAAAAGAAAACTGTGATGACATCATCTGGAACTTTGGTTCAGCTCTCCTGAGCACCATATCCGCAGATGTTGCAGAAGAAATCCTGGAGTGAGCCTACGGAGACCTCGATAGAAGCACGAGTGCAAGAATACAGAGAATTCGGGGCGCCTGGGTGGCACAGTCGATTAAGCGTCCGGCTTCAGCCAGGTCACGATCTCGCGGTCCGTGAGTTCGAGCCCCGCGTCGGGCTTGGGCTGATGGCTCAGAGCCTGGAGCCTGTTTCCGATTCTATGTCTCCCTCTCTCTGCCCCTCCCCTGTTCATGCTCTGTCTCTCTCTGTCCCAAAAATAAATAAACGTTGAAAAAAAAATTTAAAAAGAAAAAAAAAAAAGAATACAGAGAATTCGATGCTAGATTGCATCTCAGAAGCAGACATTCTAGAATTCAAAAGAAGAGGAAGAGAATGACAGATGGGTGGGGAAGTGCCAGTCTCAGGGAGGGGAGAATGTCGATGGTGAATGGGTTGACACGGACCACTCTTCCCTGTAGAACAGCAAGCATTTGCCAAGAATCTGACCGGCACACTCTCAGAGGGGAAATCCAAAACTTGTGCCTTCAGCACCAGGCAGATTCTAACCCGGAAAGACTTCCAGAAACTCCACCTGGATTTTTCTCCAACTGAGGAACAAATAGTACTTCCCCCAGGAAACCCCAAAATTAAGTGTATTGAAATACCACCAGTGGGCCCAGAGACAAGTGATGCCCACTTAAGGATATCAAACGTTTTCATAAGAACCCAAGTCTAAAGAGGAGACAAAACTGGCAACTACAGTGGCTGGAAAGACAAACCAGAAACAGTAGGTTCGGAAGAAAACCTAAATGAATCCACTTTCCGGTCCCACAAAAAAAAGACAAAGGGGCAGGGGCTACTTACTGGGTGGCTCACCCTGACTTCGGCTCAGGTCACGATCTCCTGGCTCATGGGTTTGAGCCCCGCACTGGGCTCTGTGCTGACAGCCCAGAGCCCGCTTTGGATCCTCTGTCTTTCTCTCTCTCTGCCCCTCCCCCAATAGCACGCGCTCTCTCGCCCTCTCTCCCAAAAATAAACATTTTGAAAGAAACTTCAAAAACTACTTAAATCTCCAGATGTATAGGTGAACTGTTGAATAACCACAGTGCATCCGCGTGAATACCATGCATCTGTTAAAAAGAATAAGGATGACACCTGTGAATTGATTCGGAGTAACTCCCGGGGCATATTTGGAAGCGATAAAAGTAAAGTGCAGAAGCTTACCTATTGTAGGCTACCTTCATGGAAGTAGGAAAGGGCTAGAAGGAAAGATACATGTGTTTGCTCATTTGTGGGCAGAAGAAATAGAGGAAGCATAAGGCCGAAATAGACTGGCTCCCTGCCCGGCTGCCTGGGAAGAGGCTGGGGGGCCAGGACTGAGGCAGAGGGGTGAGGAGGGAATCACACATGCAATTAAAGCTGTCAGGGATTCTGTATGTCAGGAAAAACTTGGTTGTATTTTCACCGGAGAAAACCCTTCGGCCAATTTCACAAACTTAATTAGTCAGGTCCTAAAACCGTCCTTTATTTCTTTCTTTCATTTTTTCATTTCCTTCTTTGTACCAAAGCCGCTCGTTAAAAATTTTCCTTTACCAGATAGCTCTTGTTTTTTTTACCACCAAGGTAGAGTTTGAATTTCATCTCTTAGCTCCACTGCAGAAGAAGATTATTTGCTTGGCTGTAATCAGTGTCCAGCGAGGTTCATAAAAACAGGTAGAATATTAATAAAATCCAAAAGATTAATTAGAAACTCAGTTATTTTAAGAGATGATTATCCCTGTGGTTATGGGCTAGGGAATGATGTTTTCTGAAGTGGAAACGTGTTCAAAGTTAACATTCGATGCCTCCTTGTTTTTAATAAAATGAAGACAGAATTCTGTTCACTTCTGAGCCTTTCCTCTAGTATTTCCCTCTATCTGGCATGTGTCATTCTCCCTTCATCAGGGAAATGGAAAGTCTTTCTTCAAGGTCAGCTCAGACATCATTTCCCCAAGGTGCCATTCCTGACCCACAAGGACAGACCATGGATTCCGGGTTCTCATTAAACATTGCCCATGCTTGTATCATAGCGCTTACCAAATTGTCCTGAAGCTAGGTTTATATGCTTTGCTTTTCAGTGCACTAAGTTGTGAGCTATATCCCACTTGTTTATATATCCAAGGTTCTTAGCACAAAACCTTGAACATAAAAAAACATGCCATAAATATGTGCTGAGTGGTACACTCAGTTTTTTACATTTTTTAAAGTTTATTATTATTATTATTATTATTATTATTATTATTATTATTTTTAGTAATCTCTACACCCAACGTGGGGCTCAAACTCATGACCCTATGATCAAGAGTCATATTTTTGCATTTTCTTTTTCTTAAGTTTGTATCTTTATTTTTGAGAGAGAGAGAGAGAGAGAGAGAGAGAGAGAGAGAGAGAGAGAAATTCCAAATAGGCTCCACACTGTCAGTGCAGAGTCTGATGCGGGGCTTAAACTCAGAAACCGTGGGATCATGACCTGAGCCGAAGTCAGACGCTTAGCTGACTGAGCCACCCAGGCCCCCCTGCATTTACTTTGACTTGAGTAAGGGTTTATATGGTTTCCCTACTCATGAAAATTATGCAACTAAACTCGTTGAACATTTCGTCACCATATATGAAACAATGGTTACAGGAAAAAAAAAATCGTGTCGTTTAACCCTTTTTACTTAATCAAGCCCCCTAGAACTGTTATATGAGTCTCCAATAAGCTAAACGGTGAAGTCTTACTGGAGAAATTATTCCAGGTTTTTTTTCCCCCTCTCAATTTTAAATTCAGATAACTTAATATTCATGATTTAATGCAAATCAGTACTTCTATGATAAATGTCTAAGGTATATCCGTGATCCAGAAGAGATAAATGGTGCCGCTGAATCCCTGAGTGACTGAGTCTGGGTGAAAGTGCAGATGAGCAAAAATACAGGCCACTATCCAAAAAAATAAAGTCAGGTTTCCTTAAGAGAAAGAAGATTAAGACATAGAGGAAAAATAGAGAAATGTGGTCCACTTTATAAGTGTCCTACACATACACACAGACATAGGTAAATGAAGGCTTTTGCAGTATTGATTAATGAAATAACGTAAGAATATGTTGGTGACCATATCCAAAACTGTTTAATGTATTCACTGAAGAGCTTCTATTTAATTTCTAGTTAGATATCCCTCAACTTTAATGAGTAGTGGGAGTGATACAGGAACACACACTCAAAGACTGTAAGATATCCGTTTTCTCAGTACATTTACTCTCCCAGATAAGAATATAAAGCAAACCTACAAAAGAATTAGGGAACGCGTGTAGTTCCTTGAGCGAATGCTCGGAGCTGTATTCTGGAGAGATTAATCCGTTATGCTCCAGGGTTAGAAAGATTGGAAACACAAAGAATTAAGAGACATAAAATGGTGAATGCCTGAGTGTGGGCAAGGGAAATGGAACAAGGTCGCATATGCTCTTGAGGGCACAGCATCCCCAGTCCCCGGGCACGTGGGAACACTCACCAAACCTTGTGAGTCTAAAGGGAGTCTAAAGCAGTGAGTCCACAGCTCACATAACAAGATGAAACTGGGACAGGAAAGTGTTGCTGTTGTCACTGAAATACAAAGAAGGAGGGAGTGAAGAAAATGACAAAAACACCATAAGAGAATCTGAGTAGGATTCATCTTCTGGGCTGGCTCTGGCCATTAAAGTCAGCAATTCTTTTTTTTTTTTTCCTGTTTTAGATTTCAAATTTATTTATTTTATTTTATTTTATTTTATTTTATTTTATTTTATTTTATTTTATTTTATTTTTATTTTATTTTAAATATGAAATTTATTGTCAAATTGGTTTCCATACAACACCCAGAGCTCATCCCAAAAGGTGCCCTCCACAATACCCATCACCCACCCTCCCCGCCCTCCCACCCCCCATCAGCCCTGTTTGTTCTCTGTTTTTTTGTTTTTTTGTTTTTTCAACGTTTATTTATTTATTTATTTTGGGACAGAGAGAGACAGAGCATGAACGGGAGAGGGGCAGAGAGAGAGGGAGACACAGAATCGGAAACAGGCTCCAGGCTCCGAGCCATCAGCGCGGAGCCCGACACGGGGCTCGAACTCACGGACCGTGAGATCGTGACCCGGCTGAAGTCGGACGCTTAACCGACTGTGCCACCCAGGCGCCCCTGTTCTCTGTTTTTAAGAGTCTCTTATGCTTTGAAAGTGAGCCACTCTTAAAATGGTCATTCATGGGGCGCCTGGGTGGCTCAGTCGGGTGAGCGTCCAACTTTGGCTCAGGTCATGATCTCGTGGTTCCTGAGTTTGAGCCCCGCGTCGGGCTGGCTGCTGTCAGTGCAGAGCCCGCTTTGGATCCTCTGTCCCCCTCTCTCTGCCCTTCCCCCGCTCATGCTCTCTCTCAAAAGTAAACATTAGATGAAAATGGTCTTTCGCAAACCTCACGTTTCAGAATACAAAATCCTTAGTTGGCTAATACTCAAAAGATTACAAATTTACATAAGCTGAGTAGACAAATTATGTTAGTTTTGGCTAGTTTTAACTTGAAAAACTTCACTTTTAAATGATTTATTCTTTTATGTGACATAGATTAACGCTTTCTTGTTCTTTTTAATTTTTTTTTTTAATTTGAGTATAGTTGACAAACAGGGCTACCTTTGGGTCAGGTGTACAACCTAGTGAGTGATTCAGCACCTCCATAATTTGTGCTTTGTAGATTAGCATGTATTCGACATAAATTAATTTTAATAATATCATAGATTTAGGCTCAGAACGTAAAAAGTTTAATCGCAAAACTTTTAAAAAATACTGTTGGTAACGGATTTTGTATATTTAGTAATTTGGTATTGCTGGGTGATGTGGCCTGTGTAAAAAGAGATTTTGACACTACGTATAGTAAACACTTCATAACAAACTGTTTTAATGAATCGTGCAGGTCCCAAAATGGTAGAGGTCCAGAGTCAACACTTCCAGATCAACTCCAAGGATGGCAAGCCACTCTTTACTGTCGATGAAAAGGAAGTTGTGGTTGGTACAGATAAACTTCGAGTAACAGGTGTGTGATAACTTTTTCCTTAATTGAGATATAATTCATAGATAACATTAGTTTCAGGTGAACAACATAATGATTTGATATCTGTATATATTGTGAAATGGTCCCCCGGTAAGTCTAGTTAATGTCGATCACCACACGGAAGTTTTTTTCTAGTGACAAGAACTTTTATTTTTTTATTTTATTTGCAGTGTAGTTAACATACAATGTTTCTGTGTGTGTGTGTGTGTGTGTGTGTGTGAATATAGGTTCTTTAATGTAGTGCTCTTTATCTGTTTATTTTTTAAAAACTTTTAGTCAGTCACCATGTAGTGCAATATTGGTAGTAGAATTCAGTGATTCGTGTTATGTTAGGTTCAAGATCTATTCTCTTAGCAACTTTGAAATATCCAATACGGCATTGTTAACTCTAGTCACCATGCTGTACATCATATCCCTAGGACTTAGGAATATTTTATAACTAGAAGTTTGTCCCTTTTGACGCCCTTCACCCATTTTGCCCAACCCCATCTCCTGCCTCTGACAACCATCAGTATATCCTCTGTATCTATGAGTTTGGTTTCTTTTTTAGATTCTACATGTACGTAAGATCACACAGTATTTGTCTTTGACTGACTTCACTTAGCATAATTCCCTCATGGTCCATCCATATTGTTGCAAATGGCAAGATTTCCTTCTTTTTATGGCTGAGTTATATTCCATTGCATATATAAATATCACATTTTCTTTATCCATTTATACGTAGGAACTCTTGAGAAAAACAAAATCCCGTAGAATACACTTCCACAAAAGCATATTTTACTTTTGGCAAGTTTACTCTGGAAATTGTCAGGCAGGTAAGAAAAAGTAGTTGAATTTGTTGACTCTTCTTCGTAATGTTTGCTTTTTTAATTCTTGATACTCTCCTGGAAGAATGAAATCCTCCTCATAAATCTTTGCTTACTCCTTTCTTCCACCATATTGTTACCCTTTATCTCTTTCCAATTAGGGTAACCCAAAGACTTATAAATTCCTCTGTCATCTGTATGATATTCAAGTATCTCTTTTCCATATGGTGTTGCAAAAGAACCTTGTCCAGAGTTTCTTTTATTCTCATTGTATCAAGCACTTGGAGTCCTTCTATTGCTACAAAAAATTGTCTCTCTTGGAAAGAAAGATTGGGTGGGATTCTTATAAGAATCACTTTTAGGACTGACAAAAAGCAATTTTGTGAAAAAAAATGTCCAGAATGTGTGAAATTTACCTGCTGAGCTTCTATAAAAATGTAATGAGAAAGACAGTAGTTAAATTCATCCCAGCACTTTTCTGTACTATTCTGAAAAACAATGGCAACCTTATTCTCTCACACATTATTACCAAGACTCATAAATGAAAACTGCCTTAAGAAGCAGACTCAGGAGGCCGCCAAGATGGCAGAACAGCATGGAAGTTTTTTGTGTGTCTCGCGTCCATGAAACACAGCCAGACCAACACTAAACCGTCCTGCACACCTAGAAAACTGATCTGAAGATTAACACAACAATATGTACAACCTAGACCACAGAATTCAGCAGGTATGTGGCGCGGAGAGGAGAACTTGGGGAGTGAGAAGCCACGGAGGGCAGAGAGCTGCTTTTGCATGTGGAGAGAGGACGGAGACAGTGGGGAGAATACGGTAAAAGCACTCCCTGCCAAAAACAGCTGGAGAGAAAGTGGAAAATTGGAAACGGCCACAGGGACTAAACTAAAAAGGGAGAAAGGAGAGGGTTTAAATTCCATTAAGACTGTAAACAAGGGGACTGTAAACAAGCTTGTAAACAAGCTGCAACTCCACGGCTCCATACCTGGCGGTGCTTTGGTGGAAAGGACGAATCCCCAGGAGCAGAGTGGGATCTGAGCGGTTCTCAGGCCACGTGGGGAAAAGCGGTTCCACTGCTGGAAGGAGATTTGGTAGAGGCTGTGAGGCAACCTGGGCCCAGCAGACCCCAGAGAATGGCCACATTCGCTGGTGCTGGAACAAGATCGTTAAGGGTGAAGCCTGGTGCCAGGTGTGTGTTGTGATTGTCGGTAATCCCTGAAACGCCTCTCGAACATTTTCTGGGGCGAGCTGGCACACAGCCGCAGTCTCTGGGCATCGGCAGCAGCAGGGTCCCGTAAACGTTCCTGCCATTGCTCGGTGAGACCCTCCCACAGAGGGGCGGAATGGGTCAAAGCTGCAGTCCTTCGGAAGTAAGAGGCCAGGGAAAACAACCGCATCTGAGATAAAACTCGGAAGAGAGGTACTGCCTGGGGCCTGGTCACAGACAGTGAAAAACTGGGGAGTGGACGAGACCTGAAGACAGAGGACGGGTGTGTGATTGCTGATTTGGAAGAACAGACTTCCGATACTAGAGACTGGGTAGCTGGGTGACGCCATTTTCACCGCTTCTGTGCATGCGCATATGCACCTACAAGCGCCACAACAATCCACCCCAGTAGGCTAGCAGCGCCATCTAGTGGAGAACGGAGACATTACACTGAGCCCGCCCAACTGGGCCAATCTCGCTCTTCAAGAATAGAAGTCTCACTGCCTATTTGGTTTATGGATTATAAAGTGCTTCATAGTCTGGCTTCTAGGGGAAAACAAAGTAATTCCAGTCATATTTCAGTCTGTTAGCAGATCCATTTATTCACTTTTCTTTATTTTTTCTTTTTTTCTCTTTTTCATTTGTTTTATTTTTCTTGAATACAGAAAGAGAAAAAATTCATTTTTATTTTCAATTTTCATTTAAAATACTTTTGTTTTTACTATATTTTTTACTTTTGTGTAAATTTTTTCAAATTCTATTTTACTTCCATCATTTCATTTTAGTATACTTCAGTGTATTCATTTTTTCAAATTTTCAAACGATTTCCTTTCTTTTTTCTTCTTTACCCTTTTTTCTCTAATCTTTCAAGCCCCTTTCAACACCCAGACCAAAACACACCTAGTATCTAGCATCATTTATTCAATTTTTGTGTGTGTGTTTTTAATTTTTTAATTTTAATTTTTTCTACCTCATTAATTCCTTTTCTGCCTTCAAAGTGACAAAATGAAAGAATTCACCCCGAAAGAAAGAGCAGGAAGAAACGGCAACCAGGGACTTAACCAACGCAGATACAAGCGAGATGTCTGAACCAGAATTTAGAATCACAATAATAAGAATACTGGGTGGAGTCAAAAATAGATTAGAATCCCTTTCTGTGGAGATAAAAGAAGTAAAACTAGTCAGGATGAAATAAAAAATGCTATAACTGAGCTGCAATCACAAATGGATGCCGCGGTGGCAAGGATGGATGAGGCAGAACAGAGAATCAGCGATATAGAGAACAAAGTTACGGAGAATAACGGAGCAGAAAAAAAGAGGGAGATTAAGACAAAAGAGCATGATTTAAGAATTAGAGAAATCAGTGACTCATTAAAAAGGAACATCAGAATCATAGGGGTCCCAGAAGAGGAAGAGACAGAAATAGGGGTAGAAGGGTTATGTGAGCAAATCATAGCGGAAAACTTTCCTAACCTGGGGAAAGACACAGTCATCAAAATCCAGGAAGCACAGAGGACCCCTATTAGACTCAACAAAAACTGACCATCAACAAGGCATATCATAGTCAAATTCACAAAATACTCAGGCAAGGAGAGAATCATGAAAGCAGCAAGGGAAAAAAGTCCTTAACCTACAAGGGAAGACAGATCAGATTTGCAGCAGACCTATCCACAGAAACTTGGCAGGTGAGAAAGGAGTGGCAGGATATATTCAATGTGCTGAATCAGAAAAATATGCAGCCAAGAGTTCTTTATCCAGCAAGGCTGTCATTCAAAACAGAAGGAGAGATAAAAACTTTCCCGGACAAACAAACATTAAAGGAGTTTGTGACCACTAAACCAGTCCTGCAAGAAATCTTAAGGGGAATTCTCTGAGGGGAGAAAAGATGAAAAAATAAATGCATAAATAAATAAAGACCAAAAGAAATGAAGATTAGAAAGGACCAAAGAACACCACCAGAAACTCCAACTCTACAAGCAACATAATGGCAATAAATTCATACCTTTCAGTACTCACTCTAAACATCAATGGACTCAGGGCTCCAATCAAAAGACATAGGGTAACAGAAAGGATAAGAAAACAAGATCCATCTATATGCTGTTTACAAGAGACCCACTTTAGACCTAAAGACACCTTCAGATTGAAAGTAAGGGGATGGAGAGCCATTTATCATGCTAATGGTCAACAAAAGAAAACTGGAGTAGCCATACTTATATCAGACAATCTAGACTTTAAAATAAATACTGTATCAAGAAATGCAGAAGAGCATTATATCAAAATCAAGGGGTCTATCCACCAAGAAGACCTAACAATTGTAAACATTTACGTACCAAATGTGGCAGCACCCAAATATATAAATCACTTTATCACAAACATAAAGAAACTCTTTGATAGTAATACCATAATAGTAGGAGACTTCAACACCCCATTCATAGCAATAGACAGATCATCTAATCAAAATATCAAGAAGGAAACAATGGCTTTGAATGACACACTGGACCAGATGGACTTAACAGATATATTCAGAACATTTCATCCTAAAGCAGCAAAATATACATTCTTCTCCAGTGCACATGGAACATTCTCCAGAATAGACCATATACTGGGACACAAATCACCCTAAGTAAGTAAAAAATGATTGAGATCATATTTTCAGACCACGATGCTATGAAACTCGAAATCAACTACAAGAAAAAATTTGGAAAGGTAACAAATACTTGGAATCTGAAGAACATCCTACTAAAGAATGAATGGGCTAACCAAGATGTTAAAGAGGAAATTAAAAAGTATATGGAAGCCAATGAAAATGATAACACCACAACACAAAACCTCTGGGATGCAGCAAAGACGGTCCTAAGAGGAAAGTATATAGCAATCCAGGCCTTCCTAAAGAAGGAAGAAAGATCTCAGATACACAACCTAACCTTATGCCTTAAGGAGCTGGAAAAAGAACAGCAA